ACCAATATCAAGTTTACTAAGCAACACTGTAGGAAAAAAAGTACTTGCCACTATAAATGTGACTATATGATTATATACCGGGCAGGTGATAAGAAAACCTGAGGCAAAGGCCTTGATTATTCAAGTGAAGAATAATTTTTAAAAAACTAACTACAATTCTCAGGATGCTCTAGTGGAAAAAATAAAATCCAAATTGTGCAGTGACCTCAGTCTTCTGTTGGACTTTGTAATACACCTGATATTAAAACATGCAAGAATTATTTTAAGAAATCACTGAAAGTTTTGAAGCTTTCAGGCTGTTTTGTTTCAAGTGTTCTTATACCAGGAGTCGCAACAGGAAGAAAGGTATAGATGCCATCAAATTAGATTACCAGAAAAACCCCCTCTATTTTACTTTATTTAATGTGACATACAAAGAGAACCCTGCACAAATATCTGTCTTTAATTTCTCTAGTGTAAAAAAGGAAATATATTGTGTCTGGCAGAAAGAAACAGTTGAAATAGCCCGGGTGCATTTAAAAAAAAAAAGAGGGGGGAAAGAAATCAGATGTGTACAATGAGCCTTCAAAGCCACTCCAGCAGTAGGGATAAATAATGTAATAAACTCAACTTCATATTCTTTTTATCTCCCCAGTGTAATAAGAACATATTAAAAAAATAAAACTTTAAATTCATGAATACTTGTGAATAGACTAGAAGCCAGCAGATAATGAAAAAACACAAAACAATATCTATGTGAGTACTTAACATGTGTGTGCATATCCTCGAACAGATACCTTTTTCCAGATGAAAGGTTACAATTGCTGAAATTCATGAACATGCAATTCAAATTTAAATTAGCTTTTTTTTAAAAACACAGACACCTAGCATTCCTACATTTCTCAACATATGAGTTTTCTTTAAAACTCAATAAGGAGATTACCCATTATTTTGTGCATCTCATATAAGTTAACAGGTCTACACAAGGGAGGATAAGTTATTTAGGAAATAGTGCTTCAGGAAAAATTGTTTTGCCATTGTTATTTTGAATGCTTCAAAATGTTAAGGATCACAATATTTAATTATTTTGTATTCATTAATACTGCTAACATTTATGATAATGGTGTGCTTGTGTCTTTAGTAGATTTTTTTTTCTAACTAACTGGTACATTTTCAATCAAGGCTGCCTCATAAACTAAGTAAATGAAATATAAAAGTCAGATCTTAAAATCCCAAATACCACTCAAAATGTAAGCATCTCAAATTATTGAATAATGAGATTCTTGGGGTGTTTTTTCCCCTTCAATTAGGCCAGTTTTCTTCAATTATCATTCTATTATTAGCTCATGTCAAAGATGCCTGCATGTATCACTGAAAACAATTCAGCTTTTATACCCCAAAGCATGGGACACACACAGGGTTGTATTCTAGTACTAACTACTAAGATTATATTTATAGTGAAAAATATATGTAAGTAAGACTGGTATCATTAGAGCTCTTTTATGAACTTTTCACATAAATAAATATGAATTTTAAACAACTCTATGTATTGAGTAATCACATGAAATAACTAGTTCAATAGGCCAATGATATTTCACAAAAATTTACTAAAAAATAGTTGTTACATCCACAAAACAAATCTATCTCAAAACCTAGACTAAAATTGGCTGAATTACACAAAAATATATTATTATTTGTAATTCCTCTCCATAGGTCATTTCAATTAAAATTAAGGGATGGAAAACATACTCCTCAGAATAGTTTAATTTTCCCGTCAACAATGAAGGGTGTCTAAGATCACTGAAAGGATTCAGCTACAGAAGGCAATTCATTTCACGTGTTCAGCGTAATAGAAAATCACTGTGTTGCAGCAACAAGCAGTACTTGCACTGGAGTATTATTCTAGGGCGCCCAGTTCACCCACGGTGATAACATCGGACGGGTGAATCCTATGTTATGTAAATCACCGCCAGCTCCGTGTGTGACGGGTGCTTAAGGAAGCAGCTCAGAAAACACAGTCCTGTTGTCCTTGAAACCAAATGACTTCACTTCCCTGGAAACATTCTGGGACTAACGAGTTTCTTAGTCTTTTTCTCACCACCCATTTTTCTTTCTCAAAGTGCAAATCGTTAGTGAAAAGGCCCTGGTTGCACCAATTAGTTTGCACAAAGTGCTTCGGTGTTTAGCTTCGCTTTAACCCAATTAAGCCACACAGTGAGCCCCGAAGATGCGCCACCTGCGCGCCTGGCTCGGGAGGCCCGGCCGGCGCCCCTCGCGGGCTTGCGTCCTTCCGGTTAGACCCACCCCGGCGGCCGCGCCACGGTCCCCCCTTACGGCCCCGGGGCCTCCGTGTCCCCTGCTGTCTCACGTCCTCAACTACTGGGGGTGTATGCAGGAGGCCCGAGAAGGCCAAGGGTGAGGTCTTGAGCATCTCTGGCCTGAACCCAGAGAAGGGCGCTGGGGCCCGTGGTGGGCGATCAGAAAGCGCCCGGCTCTGTTGCGACCACACGCGGGCCAGGCGGTGGTCAAGGCCGAGGAGCGCGTGGGCATAGCGTGACCTGGAGCAGACAGGGAGAAAGCCGGGACACCACGTAAGGTTTTCAATAAGGCGCACTCAGAAATAAAGCCTATGGGACCGTGAGTCTACAGAGGAAAGCAAAAGGGCTCGGGAGTGCCGAGCAGCCAGAGAGGCGGCCAGCGGGAGGACAGGGGCGCCCGCGCTGGGGGGCTGGGGGCGCGCAGAGGTGGCGTTTCCCCAGAGACCAGTGCACGTCTTCACCGTCGTGGCGCAGCTTCTCCCACTCTGATTTGCCTCCTCTTCCAACTGCCAAAAGGTAGCAGTGCATTCACCCGCGACGCCAGCAAAGTGGGGAGGGGCTTTTGGGGTGTTCCCAGTCCCTGCTCCTAAGGGGATGGAAAGTTCTTGGGGAATGGAGTAGGTGGGTGCCATGTGCCCCAAATGTAATGTACTATTTTAAGCTACATTGGAATCTACTACTCTTGGGTAACAAGAAAGTAAATAATAGGTGGTTTTCTGATGCTGTACCTGTGCCCTCCAATAATAAAAATAAAAAGCTTGAGTAAGAAGTGGGGAACAAGATATTGTTAAAAGTGGCTCTGAAAGTGCCTACAAACCTGTTACCCAGAATTACAGGATTTTGCTGCAAATATTCTTAATTTGAAAGAGACGGCATCTAAATTAAAGATAGGCAATTAAAAGTCCACCTAGGTTTAAAAACCACTACATAGCCCCTAAGTAGCATTTCTTCAGATTTCAGTACTTCGAGGACACAACTGGTACCATCACACAAAAAAATGTTTCACATAAACTCATTTCCCTCTCTTGTCTCAAGGTTCCAAAATTTAGAAATGTCGATTTCTTTCATTTTTTTTCCAAAATGAGGTTTAAATCCAAAAACCTGGATGACTTCAAGTTAATTTTCTTTGAAAATATTAACCATTTTCTCAATCAAATCACATGCAATAGTATAAAATTAGAAGTCTACTGTCAGGTCACCACTAAGGACACTTAAGACAGGAGATCTATCCTTAATTATTCATCTATAAACAAGCCAAAACCCCCAAACTTTCCAATTTTCAGGGTAGTTATCTGTGAGTAGGTCTGATCTCCATGATCTCACTTGAATTTCTGTATTAAAATACAGCTATGAACGCACATTAAAATAATCTCTCCATCCCAGAGATAATTTATTTTTCAAATGTTTCTACAAGTGCACATACAGCTTAGTGTCCTGCTCCTAATACTGAGCAAGTCCACCAAAGTGCAGAGAGGACTGCGGATGGGTGGAGGGACGTACCAAACATTTCTTAACTATCCGAAATTAAACTGGGGTAGACAACATCTAATACATTCCGCAATAATTTTCAGATTCCTTTCAACAAGTGCAAAGGAGGAAAAAACATACGTTAAAAAAAAAAAGCACAGTACCTGCATAACGTTTCAAAAAATCATTCTAACATATAGAAACATCCAGAATGAGAAAATTACACAGGTATTACTCCATCTAAAGCCAACTTCCATATGCCAGTAGTCTGTGCCTGAAAGAGCAAACTTTCAACCTGCATTTAAAAAGACCCAGAGGACTAACGGACATTAATTATCTTACTCTAAATGCAAGTTAGTGACTTTGTTTTAGAAAACCCCATCTAGTTCACTAATTGATGGATGACCATTAATACACCTGTATTTGCACTTCAGCGGTAAAAAGACAAGCAGGGTTTTCAGCACAGAAGAGCCGCTTTGCCAAGTCTTTTCAAAATGTCAATATGCTTCAAGTAATACCAAAGCTGAGAGATTCCTCTTGATTTCCAAACTGTCTAGGTGGCCTGGGTGGTTTTTCTGCCGGCAGCAGCCTCCTACCTTTAGTTTGTGTGCCTATATCCATGAGGGGGATTAATTAGCCGGGTTGGAGCTGAAGGAGGCTGTCGTGACGAGCCCAGTGGCGATTGGCCGCCCGCCTGCCTGGCCCTGCCTTTATAATTTCCACACGAGTGCATCTGGGCTCTTAGACAAACCAACAGCAGCTTCTCCTGACACATGCACACGCACACGCACCCCCGGCACACTTTTCCTCCATCTGATTAACAGTCCTGCACACACCATGATTACGGGAAAGCGTAAATAAATACGGAAAGGGGTGATTATTTTGACTACTGGAAGAGCTTTCCTGGGTCTCAGAGCAACTTTTGTTTTTATTGCCGAGAAGGTGATCTCTCCATGCGTTTCTCTCACACAAGGATTCTTTAAAAGAGGAAGAGAGACGGAGAGAGGGGGGAGAACAATCTTTCACTTTAAGACCGGCTGGGCTCAAAGATAAAAGGAGGGAAAAGCGGCAGCAGCAGGCAAACCGCCGCTGCAGCACTTCGGAAAGACGTTTTTGATCCATTTCTGAGCGCTGCGGCCCGTTTCTCCACCGAAGTTGGCTCCAGCGCTAGCAGCCGCATTGGATCCCACAGCTTACTGCGAGACTCCGGTGTACAATCCGGATCTCTGCCCCAACATGATCGCGGCCCAGGCCAAGCTGGTGTACCATCTGAATAAATACTACAACGAAAAATGCCAAGCCAGGAAAGCTGCCATTGCCAAAACTATCCGGGAAGTCTGCAAAGTAGTTTCCGACGTCCTGAAGGAAGTGGAAGTGCAGGAGCCGCGGTTCATCAGCTCTCTCAACGAGATGGACAATCGCTACGAGGGCCTCGAGGTCATCTCCCCCACCGAATTCGAAGTGGTGCTTTATCTTAACCAGATGGGGGTGTTCAACTTCGTGGACGACGGCTCGCTGCCCGGCTGCGCGGTGCTGAAGTTGAGCGACGGGCGCAAGAGGAGCATGTCCCTCTGGGTGGAATTCATTACCGCCTCCGGCTACCTCTCGGCGCGCAAAATCCGGTCCAGGTTTCAGACGCTGGTGGCTCAAGCGGTGGACAAATGTAGCTACAGGGATGTGGTAAAGATGGTGGCAGACACCAGCGAAGTGAAACTGAGAATCCGAGATAGGTACGTGGTGCAGATCACCCCGGCTTTTAAATGCACCGGGATCTGGCCGAGGAGTGCTGCCCACTGGCCACTTCCCCACATCCCCTGGCCGGGACCCAACCGGGTGGCGGAGGTCAAAGCGGAAGGTTTCAATCTCTTGTCCAAGGAGTGCCACTCCCTGGCCGGCAAGCAGAGCTCCGCCGAGAGCGACGCCTGGGTGCTGCAGTTCGCGGAAGCGGAGAACAGACTGCAGATGGGGGGCTGCAGAAAGAAATGCCTCTCCATCCTCAAAACCTTAAGGGATCGTCACCTTGAACTGCCGGGCCAGCCCTTGAACAATTACCATATGAAGACTTTGGTTTCCTACGAGTGTGAAAAGCATCCCCGGGAGTCGGACTGGGACGAGTCTTGCCTGGGCGATCGGCTGAACGGGATTTTGCTGCAACTTATCTCCTGCCTGCAGTGCCGGCGGTGTCCCCATTACTTTCTACCGAACCTAGATCTGTTTCAAGGCAAACCTCACTCGGCCCTGGAAAACGCTGCCAAACAAACGTGGCGACTGGCAAGAGAAATCCTGACCAACCCGAAAAGTTTGGAAAAACTTTAGAGGACGATTTAATCAAGAGCCGAAATGTCCTAATTAAGTGTAAACTTCCTGTTCAATTCCTATCTAATATTCCACTCGACAGTGCAAACAATCTCTTCCTTAAAAAGGAATAATACGATGTTTAAACATCATCTCACCCACCCCTCCAAGGGGAGAAACAGAAGCAGTGGAAGCGGATGGAGAAAAGCCCAAACCCACAAGTATTAGAAGACTTCTTTCCACACAATTTCGTATCTCCCTTTAAAAGTCCACGATAACACCCGGAAAGCAGCCTGGCTGTAATGCAAGACCACAGCGAACACTCTGCCTAACTATCAAAGGATTATAGCAATCCTGGTGATTTAGGTGCATCTGTCTGTGAGTAAACACGATTTGGATATGCCATCTGAAGGAAAATGTAATGTATATTTTGATTTGTAACAAATATTGTGATCTCACATTGTCTTTCAAAGTGTGGATGTTGGTGTTTTGTGACTTGGTGAACAGAACTTAAATTGCCATTTTGGATACTTCCAGACATTCTCCACTAACAAAGATTTCATTTAAAGGTAGATTTCCTCATGGTACTTTTATCTGTCTTTGAAAGTGTCTGAACTTTAAAAAGTTTACATTTTGTTTCAAATATTGCTTGTTCTATTTCTGACATTCCATAAATATACTTGAAATGTTATTTAAATATATTCAAAGAAATTTGAATTCAGCTTATATAATAACGCTTGAATATCTGAATTATATATTTGAAAAATGCACTTGAAATACACTGGATAATTACTTTTGTGATTTAGATTTTAATTTCTGTTGCTGGTTTTTATTTAATTAGATGCTAATAAATGAAGTAAAATAAAAGTTGTTGTGTCTCACTTTAAATTGTTTTTCATCAAAAGATGTAATGCTTCATCTTAAAAATCAAACCCACTTGAATATTTTAAATATTTTGAGAAATATGCTAATGAAATCTTTAAAAATAAAAACTTAAAATATTGGAGAAAAGCTCTTTTTGTATAGCTACAGAAGATAATCTACTCTCAGTTTCTAATTATAAGACAATTCCTTTCTACAACAGACACAATTTAAATCTACCTTTGAAAGCTTGCTCTTTTGGTTAGTATGTCTGTAGCATTTTTGATAATATAAGGAAAAAAATCTATCATGACAGTAGAGATTACTGAGTTAAAAATCAGGCTAACCCAGAGGAAATGAACTTAAAGTCATAATGAAACTTTTGAAATTTGTATATGAAAACTAAACTAATAAAATGAAGATAATTTCTGACCAATATATTTTATGTCAAACCTTATTTTATGCAATAAGGGTTCCATTTGCAAAATAAATTAATCAGAAATTCAAAATTCCTTTTTACTTCATAGGGCAAGCTAATGATAAAAGCATAAAGACAAACTTTAAATTATTTAAAATCGAATACAGTGCATTCATACCTATTGTTTAAATTCACTGCTTTTGGAGTTGGAAGTAAAAAAAGTCCTCTGACATTCTGTGAGAGCATTTTAACAGTCAACAAGTGCAGAAAGGGCTGATCACCTATGAGGCTTAAGACAGTTAATTCAGGTGATAGTAAATTCTAGAATCTCAGTTGCTAGTCTACAAAGACTGTTTTATAATGTTTTATTTCAGTATCTAAATTAAATAAAATAAAGTTCTCGATCTGTGGGAGTATTCGTCTTTGACTATTTTAGAATAACTGCCTCTGAAAACACTTTAAAGGAAGGTCTTTGCAAAATGATTCTAGAATATTTAGCATGACACTGAATGCTCTTGAATTCTTAAACTCAGGAAAAAAGTTTACAAATTGTACAACAACATGAAAGTTAAAACAATAAAACGGATCTCAGAAGAAAGTGCTAAGGTGTAGAGCTACACTAATACTCAGGTGTACACAATCTACACAATAAAATTTAATAAATGTTTATGCATTTCAAATGGTCCATATATGTATTTTCTGGCATTACACCAAAAGAAGAATGCAATCTTTAAACATCTGAGTGCCAGTATATACTATGTATGTACATTTTAAATCAAAGCTGAGACAATCAGTTTCTTTTCTCTTAAACCCACATGTAAAACCTATTCTTATTTCAAGAGATGAAAAAAACCATGGATGTAATAATGGAGATGAATTCATATCTAAGTGGCTTTTCCACCAGTTTCCTTGTAACTTTTCAATAAATAATAGTACACATTCCAATCTGTAGTTTTGAAAATTTAAAGTGATCTTAATATGAAATTTCATAATACCTTCCCTAGTCAGTCTCAGAGAGCGCGGGATGCTGTACCCTGGGGACTTGGGAGCAATTGGCTTAACTATCAAATCTGCCCAAGTGCACACAAAGGCACTCACAGAAAGACTGTTAAAATGTGCATGCTTTGGTAATACAGGATTTAAACTCATTAATATATTCTTCAATTCCATAAAGAGCATGTGTTATTTCATTCATTTTATTTTCTATGAGAAAGAGAATATGTTCCCCTCCCCCACTGTCACTTAAAACCAAGCAAAATTGAAAACCGCTTTCTGCCACAAAGCCACCAGTACTGTACACGGAATCGCTTTAACTCACTTTCGTGTCGATCTTCTTGAAGGCAGGATCATCCTCATCTACCTCGAAGTAGATTTCTGTCGTGGTGATGGAGAGAGTCCCCTTGGCCACCACCACGGGAGCGATGAGCTGGGCAGGGGTGCTTAGAACCACTGGGCCTGCAAGACAAGGGCAAGGGAGTCAGGCGGCGCCCCTGTGGCCCTCTCCCGCTCCCTCCCAGAAGGGTACCACAGGTTTTTACTTTTAAAGATGCACTAGAAAAAATCGTGCCTATATTACGCAGCAAGCTCTTTTCATGTGAGATAAGGTCTGCTTAGCTTCTATGCATTACATTATAACAAGACTAGAGATAAATAATTCTATAAAAACGCAAGAGGTCAGGATACTGAGTAAGCGCTCAACCTTCGCCTAGAAATCCTGCATGGTTGGCAAGGCGCTGCCATTAACCAGCTTGAAAGTGCAGCACCGACTCCATACCGCCCGGATTCTCCATTGAGCATCACTGGCTTTGCGGGGACCCTCCGCAGTCAGCACTGTCCCCAAAGCGCAGCCACCGCGTGAAGCCGGTCCACTCGACAGCGGCTCTCCCCAAGGAGAGGCGAGAGGATGTGAAGGGGGAAAGGAACTAAATATATAAATTCCACTGGACTGAGAGTTTTGCATCTTGCAGGAAGATTAACTTAATATCTGCGTGCTAAGGCGCGTCACATGCAAACATACGCGTACACACGGACATTAAAGTTTTTATGTAGAAAAGAACGAAAAAATCTTAGAAGTCATTTTCTCACAGACAATCGGTAGAAATACGTAAACGTAAGACGTTCGAACAAAACGATTCTTAAAAAAGCGTCCGAAAGTGCTACTACTCAACTTTTTAAAGTAGAGGTACTAAGCTCAGCACAAGTCCCTACTAGGGTGCTTATTTCGAATTCCCTCAAGATGAATTAAGGTTGGAAATCACTAATTTCACGTACTGTAATTTAATTCAAAGGGATACTACTTAAATGCTCCTTTTAAAGTCCCCCAAAGGGTGGCATTCTTCGCGACCCCGGACTTAAAATACGACGTGGCACGAGATAGAAGGTATTCATTTTTTCGGTAGCAAGGGCGCATCGCAATCCCTTCCATTTCCTCCCTCAAATGCGTGTAGTCAAATGAGGCACAGTAACAGCAGGAGAAAGGCAATGAAAAGTCAGATCCCCTGCGGCCCCGCAGGCCTGGGCCCCTCCGCGCAGAGACCCGCCCGCGCCGCCACCGTCCTCGCCCGGGCGAGGGGGCCCGGCCGCCGGGCGCGGGAGACCGCGGCGCAGTTCGCGTTCCCGGGGAGCGGCACACACGGGCCCTGCCACCGTCCTGCACAAAGCCGGGCCGTTGCTGTGGCTGGAGGAACAGAGAGGACTCGGCCGGCTTCTGTCGCGGTTAAAGGGGGTGGCAGTGAGCAAACTGTGTCAGTGTCAGCTTTCGCCCCGGTCGTGACCGCCTGGGCCGGACTAACGCACGGCCCTGCCTTCCCTTCCACCGCCTTCTACGCCCAGATGAGCCGGGGCTCGCGCGCTCCTGGGCCTGTGTCTCGGGCGGGCCGTGTCCCCGCGCAGCCTGGCGGAGTCGGGTCCACCTCGGCTCCACTAGGTTTTTCCTTCCGAAGGGCGAGGCGGTCGATCTGAAGCACCACTTTAAAGGCTCATCAATCTTAATCTAGGTTGCTCAAGTAATTATGCCCGAATCTCTTGTACGATTACAAGTGGATTTGGGTTTCTATTCCCCAGGCCCTCCTTTGTGTTTATTGGAGGGTCTGTGCGCGCGCTTGGCGGCGCCTCCTGCCTCCGCGCCCTCCTCGGAATCCCCCAACGCTCCGGCCGGTTCGAACCGCTCCCTTAACCCTTAAGCAACCAGGACGCTCTTCTGGATGCTACTTTTTGTATTTTCCCCCCTTGGAGAAATCCATGCGGTTTACTCAAGGTTGGGGCGGGGTGAGAAAGAAGGCGATGTGATTCATATCGGAAACAAAGTGTCATTTTATACCTGGTTAGCCTTTGCTAAAACCTCCGAAAAGTCTTCGGATTAGGATTAGTGATTTATGGTTTAAGATAGGTTTCTGGTATTTGGAGACGAGTAATGGTCAAAAACATTAAAAACGGTGAACCGCTTCTTTCTCCTAGAAAGTAATCTAACATCTCCAAACCATTAAATTGGGAAAATTGAGAAAAAGAATCATGAAACCCATTACCAAAACCAGACCGACTGATTTGCTGAACTATATTACAAATTTTAAGGACACAATTCTGTGAACTTTTAGCAGGGTCACATTTTCTCTACTCATTTCTCTGCGTTTCTGAAAGGACACTGCACCTCTTCTTAATTCTACTTCAATTTCGTTCCATTGAGTTCAGATTTTCAGGGAGTTTATGAAAGGGCTTCGAATTGGCCCTTCTCTAAGAAAGACAC